TACTCTTAACTCTCTCCTACATATATCCAACATTGAGTAAAGTCTTCATTCACACTGATTTTTTGGTCAATGAACCCAAAAATCTAGAATTTTCAGAAAACAGAGTGCAGCGTCATTTGGAATCTACATCTGCACTATAATTGCAGCAAAGATGGCTAAACCATGGTGGACTGGCGTACCAGGATTTGAGTCATCACCATCAGTTAGCTCACCAGCTTTGAAAAAGCCAAATCTAGGCATATCCCTTAACTACCATAATCCCACACCATCACCATTCAAGGAGCCTGCTATGAATGATCACGATTCTAACGATGGTCGTGCTGGTGGAAAAGAAGATGAAGAAGAAAGAGAACAAAGCGAGGAGCCGAACGAAGGCGCTGTTGAGGTCCCAAAGAATAGGGCAAGAGGCAGGCCTACGGGTGATCGAACCTTCAATCCTGTTTATCTAAAAGTTTAAACTGATAGAAAATTATGAACATATATTTAAATTCTTCTTTAAAAAATTCCATTGCTTGAAGACCAGATTTTATTTTTCATGATTACGATTCACGCTCATGTCTTCATTATTCACAGGTTCAAAGAACAAGCCAAAACCGCCCGTATTTGTGACGAGGGACAGCCCTAATGCGATGCGCAGCCATGTTATGGAGGTGGCGAGTGGCTCCGATGTAGCGGAGAGCATCGCAGAATTTGCAAGAAAAAGGCAAAGAGGAGTTTGCGTGTTGAGTGCAAGCGGGATAGTCACAAATGTGACAATTAGGCAACCCTGTGATTCTACTGCAGTCATGGCTCTACATGGCCGCTTCGAAATCCTCTCCTTGACCGGCGCTTTTCTTCCAGGGGCGACGCCACCGCTGGGATCCTCAGGGCTGACTATATACTTAGCACGCGGTCAGGGACAGGTGGTGGGGGGTAGTGTGGTGGGTTCTCTGGTGGCTGCTGGGCCAGTAATGGTAATTGCTTCAACATTTTCGAATGCTACATATGAGAGGTTGCCTTTGGATGAGGAAGAAGCTGCTGCCGCTACCACTGACACCGCCGGTGGCGCAGAAGAAGGACAGGTGGGTATTGGTGGTGGTATGGGCGAAGCGCCGTTGTTGGCTCCATATAATATGCCACTTCGCAATGGAGGAGAGTTAAACCACAGTTCATTTTCATGGAATCA